AAGCTAAGGATCGAACTTAAAGAGAGCAGCAGTAACCAGCAGGGATTTGCTGTATATCAAGACTTCTCGATAACCGGACCTGAGGATAATTATCGCCTCAGTGTAGGGTCTTATGTCGGAAATATCGGCAACGCAATCAGCGGTCACCGGAACCATGCGTCTATGGAAAACGGAATGCAATTTTCGACAACAGATCGAGACAACGATGTTGCTAACCTGGCCAACTGTGCAAGTGTGAACGGAAATTCTGGATGGTGGTTCCCTCACTGTGGTCACGCAAATTTGAACAGGGTTGGCAATTTACCACAATGGGATGACTGGAAATATTTTGCTACAATCAGTTACAGTGAAATGAAAATAAGGCCATATTGAGATCGGTTATAAGTTATAAACATGATTTAATCGTTCTGTGTTCATGGCTAGTAGCACGCAGAAGAGGCGTTATTATATTATTATTATTAACTTAACTTTTTTAGTTATTATTGTTTTTTTTTTTATTTTCCAGGCGAGAGAAGGAAACGCGAAGAGAGCGAATGCGCGAGACACGAGCGAAGGGAGAAGACGCAGAATATGATTGGTTGGTCATTTGGAGATGTGTCTTGTGGGGCGGAATGGAACAAGCAATGGTGTGTCGACGGGCGTTATTTTTTTCGCGCCTTCTCCAGTCGCGCGTGTCTCGCGCTCAACGTACCTCTTCATGCTTTGCATGTCCGAAAAAATCAAAAAAGCAGTGCCTGTTCTGCAGGCTGTGTTCATAGAGCAGGAAATTTTGTGATCCGTCTGTGTTCTGAAAGAAACATGCTTTGATATCAATAGATTCACCACTGTTTGAGACTTTTGTCTCATGGTTAGTCTTGAAAATTTTGAGGGTTAGGTCCTTACAACGTACAGTTGACTTCCGATAACTCGAACCAAAGTCGATTCCCTCTGGATTTCCTTCATACATTTACTTTAATTTTACCCTTAGTAACTCGAACCTCCCGCTAACTCGAAGTAATTTTTGATTCCCAGATCATTCCTATGCAATTTTACCCTGGTTAACTCGAACCATGTTTTAAGCGCGTGACAAGTCGAAAAAAAAGCTGTGAAATGTAGTCCAAAACATTTAATTTATTTCAAAACAATCGTGTATTTTTTGTCTCTACTCTTTTGTCAGTCCAATACAAATGTGCAATGTTTAGCACGATACTGTGAAAATACTTGCATTCCTCCCCAATCCCATTTACTTACTTCCGGTTTGTTGCTTCGAATAGAACTCCCAATAACTCGAATTTTTTTCGATTTCCCTTGAAGGTTTGAGTTATCGGGAGTCACTGTATCTGCATTCGAACTTCTCCTTCTATCAAAAATTCCCTTGACGGAGAAGGCAGAGCTTCTGTAGCTGCGAGTAAGCTCTCCTGGGGTTCAGGCTAGACCTTCTATCAAGGCATAACCCTGCGAAAAAAAGGTAAAAGAACTTGCTGTCCTTGTTAAAGAAAAACGGAGATAAAATTTTAGACTTCTTGTTGAAACTAAAAAGCGCTATGCCGTACAACAAAAAACGTCTCTGATGAATCTCGCGACAAAGAGATGTAATGCATCGAGGAAGGACTCGGCAAGCTAATTGAAACAATGGACGCTCTAAGTTCCATCCTATAAACAAAATAAAACAGCGCCTTTCTTATGAAGGATTCTCAAACAGAGCGGAGCTTCACTGTCTGTTTTGACATACTGTACGTTCAGGATCACCGCATTTCTGCTTCTTACAAGTCGCCCCATGAAAGGGAATACAATGACAGTCTTGGATTCTGGATTCCACCTTGTGGATTCCGGATTCCAGGTACTGGATTTCAGTCTTTATTAGTGGAACTTGGATTCTTGATTCCAATCGTAAATGGGATTTTGGATTCCAACTTCCAGGATTTCGGATTCTATAAGCAAACTTTTTCCGGAATCCGGATTCCCTTACATGGGGCGACACAAGCTTTAGAGGCAAAATACTACTGTGAGGAAATTTTGTGCATTACCGGTTAAAAGGATAAGAGTTTTAGATACATTTTTTTCACTATTCGGCAGACATAAATTTCAAACGTTTCTTTCACTTTACATTTCTATAAGACCAAACGCCTTGTTTTCCATGAGCCCTACTGTGCTTTCTTAACATCACACCCCAAGCTTGTTTTTCGTACTCACCCAGCACCCTGCACCCGATTTAAGTTTTTGAGTTGTACTAGACCGCGAGCAGCCTCTCTTTTTCCTCAGATTTAGCGCGCGAGCTTTGAGCGGCGAAGCGAGAAACGAGGGCGGCAGCTTCAGTAACGCGCGTGGTCATTTGCGTGTCTCCGGCGTTTTGCTCGAGGGACCAAGAAGAAAGAGAGGCTGCTCGTAGTCTAGAGTTGTACTAACAATAAAGGCAACTCTAAATCTTAAAGGTCGATAAAGCGGCTTCTAAATGGCTCTAAAAGAAAAGAAACAGTAAAATCATAACAAAATCACAAGGTGAGTCATTTTTATTTCTATTTTTGTCAAAAAATGGAATTTAAGTTGTAATTTGTTTATTTTCATACTTTCTCTTACATAAATTTCAAAGTCAACGAACTCCCACAGAGTCTGGGTGGCCTGTGGTTTACGTGACCAACTGCAACTATTGCAAAAGGCCATTTGTTGCTCCAGTGAGAGAAGGGCTTGTGAAACTTTATAAAGGAATTTTAGGTCGACTCTGAACTTCTGCGATTAAAGAATGGTGACATTTTGCGAGTGGGCTTCAGGCTTTTTGGTCAGCGGGGCTTCGTACGTTTGTGAAAAACACATGAAGGACCGTGAAGGATACATGAAGTATAAACCCAAATCTGAATTTTCCTGAAAATCGTGATCACTTATGTCGCGAAATTTTCGTTTGCTATTTTGCTTCTTTCAATTTTATTGTTTCTTGAAAGAAGCATTAACCCAGAATAGCGTGACAAAAGATGATCTCGGTGAACTTTACAAAGCCTTTGTGCAAGATTTGTTATACTTCGATCGTGAGTACAAGAAGCTTGATTCGGATGCTGTTCTTGGGTTGCGCGTAGCCGAAGGTACGGTAAGCATGCATAGCGTAGGTTTAGGATGGTGTTTTATCGAACTATTAACCAGATGAACCTTGTTAAGCCATTTTTTGATCCAGGCAAGGAGGAGGAAAAGTCGTTTAACTTGGTTGGTTTGAACCATACTGCAGACTTGTTTTCGAAATATTTTGGCAGCTGCTGGTCGCTGCTGACAGCAGGGTTATAAAACTTTTACAAGTGTAGCCATACACACTTATACATTTGTAAATTAAAAAGTGGTAAATAAAACACTTGTAAAAGTTAAATATTAAATTGACCCCAGTTCTCGTCTGTGGGTAGACTTATGTACCAGTCAATTCCAAACTTTACAATCATAAGCCACTACAGGCAACGCCATGCCACGTAAACAAAATGGCCTGACCTCAAGAGAGCAGTCATTCAGATCCATGAAAAAGTGCTTAGGACAAATGTCCTAAAGGGCTGAATTTTCTTAGGACATTTTTAGTTTTTGTCAGACATTATTTTGTTTTCTTATCACAGAATAAATGAAAATTAGATCCTTTCAAGATACTTTTAGTTTAAAAAATACTTAAAAACAAATATACTTCTAGGGGATGTCGGTCATTTCGCCTACAAGTCGTTTTGCCTACAAGTCGATTCGCCTACACTGACGTCGATTCGCCTACATGATCTGAGTTGTTTCGCCTACACATTTATACAAGTGTAAGTTACCTTGTGACCAACATCTTTATCTTACGATCTATCGATCGATCGTTGCGATCTATATCGCATCGTTCTCGTATTAACAAATGACTATAGTCAAAATGTATAGTCTGTAATCCTAAAATGAAACCCCAGAATTTCAAGTACCTTTGATGTAACAACAGTTTTTGTTTTATATTTTGAAGTATTCTGCTTTGAACGGGGTCCACAACAAATACAACACCGCAATATCTGAAAACGCCGCCATCTTGGTAGCACGTGCTCAAGAATTCATTTGGTTGCTAAGTACAATTATGACGTAGACGCGCAGCGCTTACGCTATGAAAGGACGGGAAATTCGGGGAAGTCGCTATATATTCGCGTTATATTAATACGCATTAACAGACAATGTTATATACAAACATATTTATTACTTACAACTAAACGAAGTACATGCGAGGACGTGTGGGTTGTCCAAGTGACACCCGCCCCATAAACAACAAATTCAAATTATAACTTAACCTAAATTGTAACTTAACCTAACTTAACCTATTGATTCACAGTTAATTTTAAAAAACTAAGTACATGCGGGGACAATCTGTGAACGCGTAAATACCAATTCTAACCTAACCTAGCATTACAATGATTATTTACTTATTTATTGCTTACAATCAAAACGAAGTACATGCGAGGACGTGTGGGTTGTCCAAGTGACACCCGCCCCATAAACAACAAATTCAAATTGTAACTTAACCTAAANCGGCTGGATTTTTCTTTCAGCTTTGGTGGCAATTTTTTTGTTGGATCATTGACATCATTCAAATCTTCATGAGCAACTTTCACACTGCTTTCTTTGTTTGAAAAAATATGACATAGCAGGGTGCAAAGAAAATCATTTTTACAGCTTGCCATTCGGGCAAGCTGAAGCTAGCATTTACTAGCCCAGACGTCATTTCAACTAGCCCCAAAAACTTTTTGTTCTTCTGTTATTCAAATTCCTCATAAAACATCACTTGCCCGTCGGGCAAGTTAAAAACAGAATTCACTAGCCCGATAGCAAAATCCACTAGCCCCGGGCTATCGGACAGTACTTTCTTTGCACGCTGCATAGGTTTTTGGCTCTTTTCAGCCATAACTAAGTCCTTTCATTCCCATGGTTCGCTCGAAAAAGAATCAAAGATGGCGCCTGCATTATAACAAGCACTCCTATTGGCTTTTGTCTAACCAATCGCATGCACTGTGAGATCTTTGTAAAATACATCCAAGATGGCGGAGGTTGCATTGTTCAGTGTGCAAATTGCGGCTCAAACTAGGAATATTTTTGCTGTATGGAAAATTGTGCAAAATGTGCCCATCTCTAACATTAATCTCTACCACAAGACACATTTAGAGTATTTCATATTCTATTTTCATTTTGCACGGTCATAATTTAGGTAAATTTGTTCAGACAAATGAAAATTGACTCGGACTATGTCCAAAGACAGACGTGGATCTGAATAACTGAGAGAGGGGCTGTAAAAAGACCCTCAAGCCCCTTCAACCAAATAATCAGGGTGCCCCTGCGTATACCCGACGATAGACTGGTGCCCAGCTATGTCTCGAGCTTGACTTATGTAGCCTAAATTTCATTTAGCCTCATAGTCTGATAGACAGCCCATCTGATAGGGTGCGATAAAAAATCAGAAATTGTGTAATAAGATAGGACTATTATGCAATAAATTATGCGATTTTTTTAGGGCTAATAACATTGTTTTACCAGGTTTCAAAGGAGAAAAATCACTTTAATGTAAAAGAATAATAAAACATCTATTTTAAAACAAAATAATTAAATTTGTCCAATTTTCTTGACCCGGAAAAGAAAACAGTTACTAAGGAAGAAAAAGGACACATGTTTAACATAATGCACCCTTACACCGCTGACCACACTGCTTGTCTCTGAACTCAAAATGGCTACTCAGATACTCCCAACGAAGGTTTCAGATGTCTTGCAAGGCTTTCTTTAGTGGCAAATCACCTTAAATAACATTAAGATTGGAAAAATGTTTGATTAAAGTTAGAATTTATTATTTACTTTACTTGAAGTTAGCATTTTTTTTTATGAATTATGCGATTTTCCTCAGATCGGATGCAATTTGAGGTCAATTGTGCGAAATTATACCATCATATAATATCAGAAGGCCTGCATAGATCCCAAGTGGGCAAGATGGGCCCATCTTACCCTCTCTGACTGAATTATCACACAACAGACCTTTCCTATTGCACAGTCTGGGCTGAAAATGACACCGAATTTCTGATTTTTTATCGCACCCTATCAGAAGGCCAGATACAACTAAACAAGGACGTCTCTGTCTTGCAGGCTACCTCAAGAGGTTACTTCAAGATGCAGAAAGAGGGAAAATTAAACTCAAACTAAATGTCTTCAATGATGTAGAAGATCTCCTACACAGAGTATCTAACATTCTAAAGAAGATTACTCCACTGGTCATGGAGAATGACCCACTCTTTTATCCTTTGCTTAACTCTCAGTGGACGTATTACAAACCGTATATGTATAGAGAACAAGACTATGATGAAGGGCAGAAAGATGAAGCCAATGCAGAAAGGTTTTCTCAATGTGTTAGAGAAATTACTGGGAGCCGGATTAGTAACAGTGACTTGTGTAC